ATGACATTCTGCTAGCCTACTTAAACTCATCAACTTGTAGGGAAGACTTAGCCCTCAGTTATGTTAAGCTATAATCTTAGGTAACCAGGAGCTGCAGATACAACTTAATGAATGATACTTCTCCTTGTTGGTTAATTAAGAGGTATACTTGTTCATATACAGTTGATTTTTGTACTTACATTCTAAATAGAGCTCACAGTTATTTGAAATAAGAGTTGTGTGATCAGTTTCTTCTAAATATTCTTCTGGACTTGCTTAGCCTGGAGAAGACTTCAGGAAGACCTTGTTGCAGGCTTTCAGTATTTGAAAGGAGCTTATAAAAAAGATTAAATGCTACTTTTTTCATAGTCTGACATGAAGGACAAGGGGGAACAATCTTAAACTGAAAGAGGAGAGATTTATGTCAGATATTAGGAGGAAATTCTTTACTCAGAGGGTGGTGCTGGAACCATCCAGACAAGCTGTGAATGTCCCAGACTTGGAGGTGTTTAAGGCCAAGTTGGATATGTGATCTTGGGCAGCCTGATTTGGTGAATGGCAGCCCTGCCCGTGGCAGGGAGGTTGGAACTATATGGTCTTTAAGCTCCCTTCCATCCCAAGCTATGTTAGACTTCTACTGTGTGAACATCTGTATCTGAACTAGGTATTGTAGAATTTTTTTCAGTCAGTGGAGAGAAATACAGTTCTAGAATGAGATGAATCAGTCTGAGAAATACTGTCTATTTCTTATCTTTGTATAAAAAAGCTTAGGATGTTTGATTCTGATGTGAATGTTTACACAGTAGATATCTGCCTTTGAGAATGCTCCAGTAATAAAGTAAATATTTGGATATTCCTTCATTCAGTCTGCAATTGAAAGTCATCTTTCTCTTTTTTTTTCTTTCTTGTAGGACAAATGACCATTTTCAATACGTCAGTACTCTGGTAAATATGCAGTTCTGGAATAAAGAAAAAAAATCCTTCCAAAATCTGATATGTTTCCTTTGCACACTTTGTAGGTTTTCACATGTGAGGTTTTCTGTTTGACTTAAGTATGCTGTCCAAATCTCTACAGAAATTCTAATATCTGCTTATGACTGTTTACATGGATGGATAGGGATAGGACAAGGGGAAATGGTTTTAAACTAAGACAGGAGTGGTTAAGGAGGAAGTTTTTCACTCAGAGGTTTGTGACACACAAGAACAGGTTGCCCAAGGAAGTTGTGGATGCCCCATCCCTGTATACATTCAAGGCGTGGCTCTGGGCAGCCTGATCTAATAGTTGACAGCCCCACACATAGCAAGGAGTTTGAAACTAGATGATCATTATTATTCCTTTTCAACCCAGGCCATTCTATTATTCTATGATTCTGTGTTCTTACAGTCAGAAAGAAAAATAAAATCAAGAACACTATATTATGTAGTAGCAACTATGGTAAACTATTTTTATAAAAAAAATATCTTTCCAAATAAGAGAGATTTACTCTAGTTAGACTAGAAATATAAGGTTGTGCCAATTTGAAAAGTTTTACAGCAGATTGAGAATAAGGCTGAAGAATAATCATTTTACTGTATATTTTATACATTCTAATTCCAGTTAGAACAAATATATTGCATGGATAGTCTATTTTTAAACATAAATATTTTGTAATTTACTTGTACATATTTAGATTCCCTTTTGAGTTGGCACTGAGTCCATATTACCTAGCATATGTACATCTGCTTGGTATAGCAAATTCAAAAATATCCTGTTTTCAAAATTGAGATTTTAAGAATCACTTTTGGATAACTAATATTTTTTTCTTCTTTTTTATTGAATGTACAAAGTTCCTATTTTATTAAAAAAAAAAAAAAAAAATTACTTCTTTCAAATATTTCAATTTATGAGCCAGTAGATTGGTTGCAAAGTTACTTTCCAAAAATCAAATGACTTCTATTGGGAACAATGAATGTTTTCTTTCAAGAAACAAAAATCTATTCTCCTAATATTCTTTTCACATTTATAGATACTGTTTTTTCTATTTTATTATCCTTCTCACAGTATTACCTCTTCTAATATTTTGATAAATATTATCCAGATTACACAAGATGCTATAAATAGTAGTAAAACTAACTTTGAATCAAATCTTCTATCGATGTTGGAAATGTGCTCTATGAACACTCTATGATCCTGATTTCTCATTTGTGTACATCATACAGAAGTTTCAAAATGAGTCACAAATATTGCCTTTTTTATTCAACCGGCTTTACATGTCCCTTGGACTGGAAAACAGACAAACAAACAAACAAAAAACACAAAAAACTGGGAAGTAAGAAAACAGCTGTAAGAGATCTGGATGTCAGCAATGGGAGAATGATGAATTATGCATGACTGAAAATACAGCTCTGTAAAGTTGGAGTAATTTGTGAATACTTGAAAGCTCTCTATTAAAAATGTTTATATTTTTAGAAAATTTAGATTGATTCTTAAATATACCAAATTTTAAAATGCTTAAGATATATCAAAGAAGATTCATTTTCAAGAACAAAAATAAGCCATTATTCATTATTCCTTGTACGTCTCCTTCTTTTCATAGAGAGTGGTAAGGAATTGGCTACCAGTATGCTATGCTACCGCACCTGATGCTTTCATCAGAAATAATTCAGTGGGAAAATATTCTCAATAGCAGAAAATCTCTGAAACATCAAAATGATCTGGAGGTGGGGAGAGGAGAAGAGTAAGAAAACAGGAACAGATATTTATTGTAAAAAACTCTGAAACTAAAATTTGTACGGAGCATTTTGAGGAATTATATTTTCAGTGAAGTTAATAGTTGAAGATTCTATTCTGCTTTACTTTTCATACTGTAAAATCAGAGGGATTATCTGAGATCCAACTATCATGCTTAGACAATTATGAGACAATCTGGCTTTTTCCTGCACCTGCAATACCATTTAGCACATGGCAGACTATTACAAGCAATTTTAACACTTGTATATAAGAAAGGGATTTGAACTGAACATAGGACCAAGGATTTAAGTTAAATATAATTTTGACTTAAATTTATTCCCTGTCAATTCATAGATAGAAACATCATTGTTTTAAAAGGAGTAAACACAGTGACAAGGAAAGCTTAAAACCTCATCAAAAACATCTCCATACGTTCTTCTGAGGAAAAAGTCCAGAAGAAAAGATATGGACATAAAAACAAAACAAAACAAAACACCTAAAAACCAAATTTGGAGAATAAAATTAAATTGAAAATAAAAATAAGATTGAGGACAAACCAAAAATAAAAATGATCAAAGCAGAGAGAGAAAAAAATAATATCTGTCAGATTTCAATTATAAAAATTAGTTTTTGAAGGTCAGTATTAGAGCAAGCATATTTATATTGTGTATGAATATAATCAAAAGGAATTTCTGGAAATAGAATTAAAATTATTATTATTTTTAATTTATTAGGCATCTGTATAGGAGAACTGCATATTAATGTCAGATTTAATTGCAATTAAATTTGTAGAACCTTCATGGTTTGGTCTCAAAAGCTTATTTTTTTGTGAAACAAAATTTGTAGAGTTGTAACATCTGTTACTAAACAAGGTGTTACAGTGGTCACAGTAGTAATATGTTTGTTTGCAGAAGAAATACTATAATTGCAATTCAAACACAGATTTTAAAAAAAAACAATATTAAATATTTTGCAGATAATTTCTTATTAGTAGACAAAAGAATTAAAATGGTACACATAGGCTTCAGAACTGATGTTCATTTTGTGTCAGGAAGCAAAGATCTCCATGCACGCTAATGCTCTTAAAAGGATTAGATACATCTTCATTTCTGTACAAAGTAGGAGACACTATATCTTTTTCCAGCTTAACTGGTTTGTACTAGGAAAGCTCTTCTACCTGTAACCAGAATTCTTTATCAAAATTACTAGTGACAGAGTACAGTAACATTACAGTGTTTTGACCAATAAGGAACTGGGGCTCTTAAGTCTGGGGAAAAGGAGACTGAGGAGAGACCTTAATGTGCTCTTCCAGTATTTGAAAGGTGCTTACATCAAGAGTGGGGTTGGTCTTTTCCCCTTGGTGACAGGTGACAGGATGAGGAGAAATGGCCTTAAGTTGCACCAGGTAAGTTTTGGTTGGATATTAGGAAACACTTTTTTACAGAAATGGTTGTTAAGCACTGGAATAAGGAGGTGGTTGAGTCAGCATCCCTGGATGTATTTAAAGACCATTTGGATGTGGTGCTCAGGGACATCATTTAGTGGAGGGTGATATGGTTAGGTTGTGTTTGGACTCGATGATCTTTAAGGTCTTTTCCTGAATGATTCTATGATTCCATGATTCTATAGAAAATTTCAATGTTGAATATACTGCCAAGCCAAAAATGGAGTGTACCATTGCTGCTAAAGATGATCAACTCTTAACAGGAAGCACATATTATATTAGTGTAGAAATTATTTGATAAAATAGTCTAATTTTGCCTAATTCCACTTGCATATATTCTCAGTTCCCTACTTGTAGCTAAGAAGTGGAAAGTAATAAGTTGGGTCAAACTAATCAGGCAGCATTGTGTAGTATGAGTGCCAGAAAGAAATAAAATGTATGTAGGAGCTTTTTTTTTTTTTTTTTTTTAAATCCCTTTTGAAATGCCATTGGATCTGTCTCTTATGGTCACGGTTTACCTGTTACCTGAGGTAATGAAGAAATGGTATCTATTTTCCATCCATTTATGAGCTTTTAATATACAGAAGATGCACTGAACAACATGATTAGAGCTTGCATGCCTAAAGTGAATATAAAATTAAGAAACAATTAGGAAATTGTCCTTTTGACTCCCGCATTTGCAACAAGACCCATCATAGCCAAAGGCTTGCTTTGTGTATTATTAGATTGAATACTCCGGTTTTTCCCTCATAGGCTCTGTTTTAAGGTGCAAGGAGGTACAATCTGCACAAAAATATAATCTTGGAGGTTTAGTTAGTTGTTGTTTTTTTTTTTTTTTTCCTACTGTACTGCAAGAGCTTAATCATTACAAATTAAAATTGAATATCCAGACTTTTCTTTTTCTGCACTTCAGTAAGATCTAATTGTCTTCCTTAAAATAACTACCTGTCTAGACGAGAAAGCCATAACCCATTTGAAGAAAATATCTGAATAGAAAAATTGTATTATCTACTTTTCTCTTAAAAAAAAAACAAACAAGCAAACAAACAAGAGTTTGAAAGTCATTAAATATACTTTTATGTTTTCACTGTTAAAACTCTTAAGGCTGTGAAAGCCACACTTGAATTCCTTTCTGATTCTTATGTAGAGCTGTCCCTTGATTATCCAGTTCTCTGGAACACATTTGAGAGAACAGTATAGAACGTATTATTGAATGCTTACATATTTATGCCTACAGCAATCTAATTTTTTCTTCTTCACATAATGAATAATTTTTATGATTTTATTTGGTATAAATTCTCTGTATTTCTCACTCTTATGCTCCTTCAAATTTGTGATCAACACAGTATTCATTGCGTAAATCCATGTTCATGTGAAGTTGTTCTTGTCTTGATAGAAAAATAATCATTTCACAGTCAATAAAATCCTAAGCAGTGCTGACAAAGTCATGGTTGCTTGATGACTACAACACAGGCACCAGCTCTTCCGATATTTAAGGAAGCCATCTGCATTAAAACAAAACAAAACAAAAACAAAAAACAAAACAACAACAAAAACTGAAATAAACTGAATAGAGTCTAGTCATGCAAGAGTGAGCCAAAGTGTTTTGTCAGTATTAATATAAAATATTTTAAATGAATGGGATTAAATACTCGCAATGTGCTAGTACTGTAGTTTTAAATTAGTTAATTATATGTTGTATCTTTCACTTGAAAATGTGGGAACAGAAAAAAAAAAAAAAGTGATTTTAGAGCAGACATCAGTTTTGTGGATTTGTTGATATGTCAGTGTTTTCCATATTCTGTCGACTGTGTCCCTGCGAGAAAAGTCAAAGCTACAAATACCAAAATTCTGTATTTTCAGTACTAAAAACCAAAGTCAAATTTCCCTTCAATTAAGTTTGGCAGTTTTAGACACTGTTTCTAGATTCTGCAAGGATTACTTGCTTTAGGAATCCGTTGAGAGTAATACTGAGGTTTTGAATAATTAAAATAGTACACTGTAATTAATGATACTCTGCCTACTAAAGCAGAGGCACTGCATACTAAGTATCTGTCCCAGTGTATTTGCTATGATTCCAAATCTTTTCAAACACTATTATGGCATTTTCTTTACAACAAAATCACCAATTGCAACCACTTTGCACTATGAAAATACTTCTATTCTTATACAGTTCAGTATGAGGTGCATACATATATTTCAACATTTCAAAATATCCATCAATAAATGGGAAATGAAATTGAAGAATGAAGTGAAAGCTTAGCTCCCTATTTACAGTAAACAAAATATACACGTGAAATATCTTCAAAACATGCCTGTCAGAATTAATTCCGGATTCATTTTAACAATTTTTATAACATTACTTCTGCACAAAAAAGAAAAAAGAATAGATATTAGCTAGTTTTACCTGAAAGGTAAAAGATTACATTTCTAATGAGTGTTTATTCTCTCTTCTACTGGTTTCTTAGTTCTCTTTTTGCTATCTGAAGAGGAATCTTTTAACATAATAACTGAAAAAAAAAAAGCATTAGGAATACTTTCACAGCCACAGAAATCTAAGATACCGGAATACATATATAAATATTTTTAAAGAAATTATCAAAATGCATGAGAAAAAATACAGACTATAAAAATACCTGTGTCCATTCATTAGTTTGAGGGTCATAGGCTTCCATAGTGTTCAGGTATGTTTGCCCATCATATCCACCTACTGCATACAACTTGTCACCAAGGAGACAGACACCAACAGCATCTCGAGGCATACTCAGTGGAGCCACCATTGTCCATGTATCAGTTTTTGGATCATACCTAATGAAGGAGAACAGAAATTGAATGTACAGTGAGAAGCAAAGTGTTGATTCATGCTGATCTTCATGAGAAATACAGCCCTTTTTCAGAAAAACAAAAATCCATGAGCACCTTATCCAAAATATTTCTGTAACAGCAGAATGAAAAGATACACGTTTACTGTGTTCCCAATTCATGTATTTTCATGTTGATTAGAAACTTTCACTTAACTATTTGGAAAAAAAAAAAAATTAATAAAGAATCCTAAACTATTTATGGTGTAAGGTGTCACAACATAGATATGAATAGAAAAGCAATATCTTAATGTATATATATATATGTGTGTATATATTTGAAATAAATCATTATATTTTTGTAGAATATTAAAGTATTTTTTGCAATAATTATATTCTATTGTGTTAATATAAAATGTTCATAGCCAGAAAACCTTCCCAGAAATTCATGTTTTTAACTTCATTTCAGTTAGAATCTCTCTTCAAGTGAAGAAAGTAGTGCAGTTTTAAAGACAACCATCACAGAATTCCTAAAGCTGAGAGCAGAATTACATAATAATAGACATTCAAAAATTAAATATTTAATTTATGCTATTAACTTAGATATTTGTTAACAGTGTAACAACAGTTAATACCAGAGGCCATTTCAGTGTATTTAGCATCTACTATAAAGCTGAATCAATCCACTGATATTGCCTCTCAGTGAGTTACGAAGGAAGCCTGGAGTATTAGATTAAACTAGACACCTCATTTTTAGGTGGTGGATATTTCATTCAGATAACAAAATAGATTATTACATCAGAGCATGATAGAAATACTTTTTTTTTTTTCTGTCCTAAAGCATCTATAACATGTAGTAGAATAACTTTTCAATCAGTTGAGAGAAATGAACGATTTAAGGATGAAATGTCTTGGGCAGACTTCAGTCATTTGATATGTAAAGTTAGCTCAGACTTTGGAAATGACAGTCTAAAATAACTATAAGGGAACTCTGTGATGGCTAAAGTTCTCTATCGTTATATAATATCATTACATTATTATTGCTACTGAGACCCTCCCCTTATGGATAGAATGTGACACTATTTTACCAAAGAAAAATATCCCTCACTTCACAATCACATCTTATTCATGTCATTGCTTTTTGGCAATAGGTACATTTGTGAACAACTGTTTTCAAGGATGAAGCACAAGAAGAATAAAATTTCATCAAAAGTCTCTTGACAAACACCTTCAGAACTCATGAAGAATTGCAACCACTTCCACTGAACCAGACCAATGCATTACTTGCACAAAAACCAGGTCCCATTAGATCCCACTAGTTTTATGGGGGTTTTTTTTTGCTCTCTTTTTATGTTTTAATAAAAAGTATTTTAAAATAAAATAAGTTTTGTTAGTTACATACATTGGCTATATTATATATTTTACCTGCAGCCCAAGACAATTCCTCTCAACAAAATGTGGCCCACGCAAGCCAAAAAGCTGGATACCCATGAGCTAAGCAAAATGCTTAAAACTTAATTCTACCAGCAGGATAGAATTGCAAAATAATTTGGTCAAGGTGTTTTTGTTTGTTCATTTTGTAATTGTCCAAAAAAGTCTGAGTTTTCTTATATTTTTTCTTTTGCTAAAAGCAACTGTACTTTTTGGTTTTACAGTAACTGGGTATTCCCTAGATTGAGAAGGTTTACAGTAAAGTTCATTAATGTGGAAAGAAATGAATTTGAAATCAAGGTGAGAAAAAAATCTATAAATAACTTGTTTAACTTGTCAATAGATATTACATTTAGAGCAAGCAGCATTCTTTTTCAAGTATTGCTTCACTATCAAAATATCTCCAAATTTTATAATTCTTAAATAGAGATTACTCAGTGTCATCAGAAATCCTTCAAAATTGCATTAACATAAAAAGCTGGGAGACAAACTAGATGTCTTAATCCTTAAGAAGGATTTAACAGCAGCATTCAAAAAACACAAATATGCTGTCACTACATTTAAGTAATGTCAAAAAATATTTTTACAGAGGTAAAACTTTCAGGACTATATGAGATAAAATATTAAATCATATAATAAACACTTATTAGACTTTGGTATCCTAAGTCATTGGAAATATTTTTTGGAAGGAAGATTAATTTTCAAATGTAAAAGTAGATGCATTGAAGCCATATTATACATCTGTCAATTATTGGCAGTGCTTTGAGATACTGCCCATTTTCTCATGGAGACCTCCATTCAATTCACATCTGCTCAATGCAAACTAATATTCTTCCAAGTTCTGACTTGTTAGTTTTAATTTTTACACTGGAAGATAGCTGCCCATAAAGCACATCATTCATATCAGTGCAAAAATACCTAGACAAATAACATTCTATAATGCAATTCAGACACCAGATAGGTAAAGAATATGTGGTTAACTCATTGCTATTACACCCTCTGAAAAAATCAGATGTAATGGGAAAGGATTTGTTTTCTTGTCAAAATTGGAGGGAAAAAAAAAGCTTCCTTGTAAGTACCAATAAGTAGAAGAAGTAGTAAAGATATTGTCACCATTAGCTATTAGAAGTTGGATTCTGTGATCCTTGTGGATCCCTTCTTTAACATTATGATTTTAGTACTAATATAAATTTACTCCATGAAAAAATCTGGGTATTGTTACTTATAGATAGATAATCATCAAGATTAAGATGAAATAGACCTGGGATTTCTCTGATTAACTTTCCATGTGTTGGAGATAAGGAGAACATAAGTATTTTGCATATGGAATGAAGTCTAAGCATGAGGAAAATCATATGGAATAAGTTTCAACTTAGAAATTTAGGATTACTTGTTGAATAACTAGTAAATTCAAATATTAAAAAGAAGACAAAAAAGACATTTAATACATTTTTAAGCACTTAATGGAAAAAAAAATCTCTTTCCTGGTACCTGTCTATGCCTATTCCATGCTTAAATTAAACAATCAAATATACCTGCTTTAAATTTTGCTACCTGTATATATATGGAAAGTGTATTTTACTGTATTCTTCTTCAAAACATTCAAAAACAAAAGAAAAAAAAAAAAAAAAGTCAAACCCAAGCGGAACATTTGAAGAGTACCTTCAAAATGAGTGGCACTGCCCTACTGGATAATCTTGAATTTGCAGAATACCAGCTTGTGAAATACAGGGTACTGTAAATATAACGTGTAAGGCTTATACCCATGTAATGGAAGTGATAGTGCAGTTAAATATCTATTATGTCTTCCTTCTCTGCTACATCTTTAGTTACATTATTATGTTAGAATAATTATTTCAGGCCTGAATTTTTATCTCCTCAAAGTTTACTTTATGACTCTGCAATTTGTAATGTCTTGATTCAGATACAAAGGTTTGTTAAATGTTCAGTGAAAAGAGAAACTTTAGTGTCAAATTTAAAATTTAACAGCACTGTGAAAGGAAAAAAAGGAAAAGAAAATAATCTCCAAAACTATTCTGTTGGAAGCTTCCAAGAGTTTTTTACAGTAAAAAGGAAGTCAGTATGTCTTAGGGAAAGAAAAAAAAAAAAAGTCTGCTGTAAATTTCACCATTATTTAAGTAAGAAAATGATGCTTCCAGACAATATATTTTAAAAATGCATGTAGTAGATACCTTTCTACATAGTCCAGTAGTCGTGAGCAGTGGTTAGAAGCAGGAGCATCATGACCTCCAACTGCATAAAGAAAGCCATCACATGTAGCCACTCCTACACCTCCTCTTCTCTTACACATTGGAGCACACATATTCCATTTATTTGTATGAGGATCATAATATTCCATTGAACTCAAACATGAGCTTCCATCTCGACCTCCAACTGAATATAATCTAAGAAAATGCACAATAAAATATTAATAAAATAACAGTGTAGAACTGTAGAAATAAAGGATTTTTTTGTTGTTGCTGTTTGGTTGTGGGTTTTTTTGTTTCTTTGTGTATTTTAAGCTGACTTTAACAAATGGGAGAAAAACAAAACATACTTTCCCAAAATCATATGAATTTCAACTGGTCAGAAAACATAGATGATTTCAATATTATTACTAAATTCAAATTCTACTTGTGCTTTGCTCAGCTCCATATGAATTAAGATATTTTCATTCTGGAAATGGTTATCTTCGTTCTTCTTTGATTACAGCATATACTGCCAAAAGCCACTGTGATACATAGATTTTTCTCTATAAATTTATAAATCACATGAGCAGGGCTGGTACTCAATTGTTCGCCATATACTATGAGGATTCAGCTCTGTACGGAAGTCTTGGAAAACCTCAGAAAACATTTAAAATATGAAATGGCAAAATGTGGTTTAAAAAAACTGTTTGTTTGTTTGTTACTACCTGCAGGCAAGATTCTTGTTTCCTCCTTTTTTTTGTAATGCTTCCCAGTAGGAAACAGTTCTGATAACTCTTTCTGTCTATAGCCATGCTGCATCCATGTCTTATATGAATCCTTTCACAGTCTATTGCCTTTCCTACAATGCTTGAAGAATTACTAATCAACTATTTGAAAGTCCAGCCACTGAGTAATTTAGGATGCAAAAGCTGTCTGTGGGAAGTAGTTATTCATTTGGAAGCTTTTACTGTCCTAAACAGTCCATGAATTCAGAGCTACTTAAGTGTGTGTTCACCATTATATTTCCTTGGCATGGATTCTGATGGATAAAGAAAATGTAATACCACCACTAAATACGTCAAAGAAATCGTGAGATATTTTGGTACTGCCTGACAGATATACTATACTTCTGTTTGCCAAAGTTTCAAGTAGAGAGAAATACAAGGGAAAAGATATTAAAGCATCTGAGTATCCAGACTTATTGGATATCCAGAGATATTTACCTTTCTATACAATTATCATGTATCCACAGGTAGGAAAATCCACAATTAAGACTCCTTCATATTAGGGTTAATCTGTCGATGTTTGCATTTTTTAAATTGCTTTATGTTCAAGGTGGCAAGCAGAGCCTAAAGTTCAGTTGGCCAGCTGCTACTGTACTGTTCCTTTTTATCAGAGAAAAAGAGTTTAAGAACAGCACTAAAAGGACATGTTAACACTTGATCCAAATTCATTTACATGAAAATAAATCCAACTGTCTTCAAGGATGTTACTGTTATTTGCAGAGAAGATCTGGGACTTGGTTCAGTTGCACGCAGACAGTGATCAAACGCTGTTTACTGTATGTGGAAGAAAAAAAAAACATGCCCTACCAGAGAAGACTGCCAGAGTTCACAAATCAGTTCAGATGGCAGTTGATAGTTTCATATAAATATGTGAATTAATTCCTCAAAGTGTGTCAATGGTTTATGGGCTGGTTCAGCCCAGTTCCATGACTAGTGGGGCGGAAGGATTTTGCAAAATCCATGCCTCCAGAAAAAAAGGGAACAGGGGACCCCAAAATAATTAAAAACAGTGGCAACGATCTGAGGAGAAACAAACTAATTTACTAAATATAGTATTGGAATGCAAGATAACACACTATAATAAAATATAATTAAAATTGAAGCTAATAAATCAAATATAATGAGAGAGAGAATGTCTGAAAGGTGGATAGGCCTCACCACAACGCTGAGGTGAGATGCGCAGTCCAGTTGAGCAGCAGGGAGACAGAAGGAGAGCCAACGAAGAAGAACAGGCGAAGAAGTCAGGAGTTATATCTCTTCTCTGCGACCACAAAGTTCCTGGGGGAATGTAGTTCTTCTTGTCTTCCGGGCAGGTACCCAGAACTTGAGCATTAACAGTTAAACTCCAGTGCCCCCCACGATGTTATGATATGGAATACCAAAAACCAAAAATCACAAAACCATGACAAGTGGAGACAGTGGTATACAGGCCTGAGATAGAATTCTAAGTAAATACTTGGACAAATAAACATGTTTTTAAAAAATGCAAAGTACTAAAACTTCTGCAGGGCTCAGTGAGAACCATCATGTGTTCTCCTAATCTAACTAGCAGAAGGAATAACTATCTCTTCTGGCATGAAAGTTCACTGTGAAGCACTGGTTTTCGTTTGCCTACTTCAGTTAAGACAGCTAGTAAGATATACCTAAAAGCATCTCTGAGTTGCCAATAGGGAAACATATATTGTTCATAAAAACTGATAACAGTTTCAGTCAGCTATCTAGTTTCTGTTAAAACAACTGTTCAGAACAGAATAAAATTTATTTCCCAAATAAGATTTTGGGACTATCATTCTAGGTTTTGATTGTGTTTATATCTAAGCAAGTAATAGTCCAGGATTTTGCTTCTCCTTGTTGGCTCCCTCACCAACTGTGTCAGGAAGTTATCTCCCACACGTTCTAGGAACCTCTGGGACTGTTCCTTCCTGCTGTATTATAATTCCAGCAGATATCTGGGAAGTTGAAGTCCCCCACAAGAACAATGGGGAGAGATCTTGAGACTTCACACAATTGTCTATAACGTGTCCTATACACTTCTACATCCTGGTTGGGTGGCCAGCAGGTGACAGGAAAAGGGGAAATGGCCTCAAGTTACACCAGGGAAGCTCTAGGTTGGACATGAGAAAAAATTTATTTACAGAAAAAAGTTATTAAACACTGGAAGTTGATGGTTGAGTCACCATCAATCCATGTGTTTAAAAACCTTTTGGATGTGGTGCTCAGGGACATGATTTAGCAGAGGGTTGTTTGATTTAGGGTAATATGGTTAGGTTGTGGTTGGACTTGGTGATCTTGAAGGTCTTTTCCAACCTGAACAATTCTATGATTCATTAGATTAGCAATACAATTTTATTTCATAAAGGTCAATCTCAGACAAATAAAATTTGTTTTAAAACACTGTGGCTGAGCCTGGACGCTTCAGTAAGGAAACATTTCCACTCTTCTGCTAAATTCTGTAATCCACAGTTACTCACTCTAGCCCAAAGTAACTAGGGAACAACACTGCAAACAGTGCTGAATGTCCAGGATACTGCACAACTATCTGAAGTTTTTGAGATACTTATATCCCAAGAAATTTAGAACTCTCTTTCTTTTTAGTGCTCAGTCATATTTAATTTGATGACTTTGAATGAATCATTTTTTGTAACTTTACCCTTCTTGGTAACAGTTCAGATATAAAAATTTCTGCGTGGAAAGGTATAATTGATTTCTCCAAAAAAAGTGTGATAATCTGTCATTACTGTGATAAGATGTAAGCCCTGCAACTGCAAGGGCTACTCATGTTTCTCAGTTAACAGATACCACATCCAATATGGGTGATTTGTTGAATATACTTGCAAGCAGATTTTCATTTTCATGTGCATATACCTTTAGAATTCAGACACTGAAGACAATTCAATGACTGAATTTAACAAGTTAGTGTTTGTCATTTTTTTTAAAATTATTTTTTTATTTTACATTGTTAATTTACAATACCATCTTAGTAACTTTACCTTACTTAAGTGCTCTGTACTACTTCTACCTGCTATTTACTGTACATTTACCACTGGGATACAATGTGTACAATCCACAAAAAGTCTAAATTCATAATAAAGACATCTTTCCTATTTCTCCCAGATAACTGGTATCTGTAGACTTATTGCAGATATCTAACTTTTGCAGATGATAACTTTTGAGTGCCTACAGTTTTTTAAGACTATTTTCAACATTGCATGATTAAAAAGAAAGCTTGAGAAGTAAGCATAGGGATAATAATCACATAGTAAGCATATCTTCATTCACTTTTGAGTTGGGAATATTCTGTTTACTGAACTGCATCTCATTCTATGGAGGTGTATCCTATTAAAACTGTTTGAATTTCTTTTATAATTATCACTGTTTACAGGGAAAGGTCAGCAAGGAAAGAAAAAAAAATACCATTCATTACTGAGTACTTTATCTCCATGGTTAACAATGAAAGTTTTACCTCTGGAGATGTTACAGATTTCTATTCCCCAGTAGTCTAAATTTCAATTCATTCAGATACTGTGAGTAGATATGAATTTAGTCTCTTCTGGACTGGAAGATTTTTTATTTTTTTTTTCAGGATTTGGTGAGTTTTTTTTACATTAAGATGGGCATAGATTCCTAAACAAATATATATATGTGTGCATATATCACACACACACTTAGGGCACTCCAAAGGTAATGTAATGCCTCCTATTTATTTCTATGAAAACAACATACTCAAAGAATACAAGAACACTATTTGATAGAGCAAATTCTCAGATGCAAGAAACGTTTTTTCAGCAAAGTAGGAGAAAGGAGAAATTATGACTAGTTGGATCAAAAAGCATTTATCTCAGTGCTATGATTACAAACCTTTGATACCTAATCAGAAAAGACATTTTTAAATTCAGTTTGACAAACCAACCTCAAAAGAACAGAGTGCCTTTGATGTGAGTTGCAATAGCTTGTGCAAACAGTTGAATCATGCCTTTCCGGCATTTCTTAATGAAGTTCACCTTTCAAAATTCTTTCACTGAAAATATCAAAGACCTTATCTGGTCTTTTGTTAATTCCCCTCTGCGCCCTTTTCTACCTTTCAGTATGCCTGACAGAGCAACAGAGAAATACTTAGTCAGAAAGGAAATCTGACGGGTGAAAACAAGGGGAAGGTTGGAATTTTCATCAGTGCTAGCAATCCACATCTGACTAAGGAGACTGTGTAGATGAAATCTCTCTATCCGCACTGCCTTGGTTAGGTCAGTTGTTCACTGGCAAAAGTTGAATATGACAATTTTCTGAATGGAAAGCATTAATGAAGACATTTCTATCTGTAAATTTGGAACAATACTTCATGCATTTGGTAACACAGGAGTGGGATACATTAGGAATAAATACAGTTTTGTTTAAGAAAAAATGAAAAAATGTCATAGAATAAGTGCCAACAAT